CCTATCCCTGCTCAGGGGCTACGACGGTAATGAGTCCCTATGCGAGACCATGATAATATATGAGGGGTCGTGTTCATTCGGTTGAAGAACGGCCGATATTCTTTGAATTCTTTTTCTTGCTTCAGGAGTGCAGGCGCCAACGTGAGAGTGTGTGGCGCCTTGTCTGCCTGCTACCTCTTGCTCTTATTATTTGGCTACGCGCCACCGGCATGGATAGGTGTTAATGATGTATACGATTTCTAAAAACGGACGGCTGAATTTGAAGTGGAATGGGCATCACTTGATCACCAGAAGGTGCAAACTTGGCGCAAAAGCTTGGCTGCTTTCATTTTTTCATCACTTGTTCTCTCTTTCTTTTCACTTCGACCCTCAAGAGCCCTCGTCCTGTCTGGCATTTGGTACTTTCAGGCTAGGGTGGTGTATTGTGTACTCATTATCTTTTGCTTTCTCTTTTTCACTTTTGCTATCCCCTTTGCTATGAGGGCTTCTCTTCGTCTGTCTGATACTTGCGGGCCACTGGGTGTTTGCCTTCGCTATTTTTTGTTGCTGCGAAACACGGTACTGGGTGGCGTACTGGAGGCTTCTTGCTATCGTTATCTTTTCATGCTAGATGCCATTAAGCGTCTAGGGAATTTGCTGAGCTTGAATTCCAATTGATACTTCGATCAAAAACTGCGACACCTGTAAGAATGTGCGTAATCAAGACAGTAGTCTGTAAAAGTACTTGATAGATCGACGGCCTGCAATTGGTGATCAGTAACGGCGTGCTTGGCAGGACGCGGTGGATTTAGGTTCAAACCGTACAAACGGGTCAAACAAGACAACAACATCCTTTCCATACGCGGGTCACCCAGTCTTCGGCGATGGGCTCCGACGCAATTGATACCTAAACACATCAAACTATATGCCATAGTCACTACTTCCAGGTCTTCCTCTGACTGGTGCGGGACGCCATGCCCTAGACTCCGGAACTCCAGCGAATTGGCAGGCCATCCACTTGTGTTCGACCATTAACTTCTCGCCGCGTCTAACCTCGAAAGGCGGTATTCTGCGCCAGCCGACCTATAACCCATTGTCTCATGGTGGGCTGCGAGCTGTGAACTACCCAAGAACAATTTGAACCCCAAGAGATCAAAAGAAAGGGTACAATCCAAATACCGGAAAGCTCTATAATCGAGCTAAAACCAGACCCCCAAAGAAGCATGTCCACCCGCCAACCCGCGCGCCCGCGGCGCATCGACGACGCCCTCTCGCAGCTCGTCGACTCCCTTACCCCTCCGCTCTCATTTTCCGACATTGACGATGGTTACGCCGACGACGCAGAAGAAGCCCTCGCCGCAGCAGAAGAACGACGACACCAGGACATCCTCGAGCGGTCATGGCGCATCCTCGACACCTACACGAGCGCCGCCAACAACGATCCGGCCTCGCCGCCGGGCCCCGGAATAAACAGACGGGGAAGCTTAGCAGGCGGGGAGAACATCAACAACGCGTCGGACCTGATCAAACGGAAATTGCTACGTGAGAATGCGAGCCCCGATAAGGCGGTGCGGTTCTCGAATCTTTACTCGCGTCTGTTGACGCAGCCGGTGCTGTCGCAGAAGTGGGCTATTTTGTACTTGCTTTATCGGCTCTCTGGGGCGGATGATCATGATGGGTTTATTATGGATGATGAGGTGATGTTGGAGGCGAGGAGTCCGCCGGTTGAGCCGGCGAATTTGCAGAATGTGCTGTGGAAGGGGCAGAGGACGAAACAACAGGGTTGGGGGGCTGGTGATCAGTCGGATGAGGAGGGGCCGGCGATTAGTTCGTCGGCGTCTCAGTTGCCTGGGAGGATCGAGAGGAAGGCTTCGGTGCGACGGCAGGAGTTGTTTGCGGATAAGGAACGAGAAGCGGAGCTTGATGGGGGTTTGCAGACCACGGAGAGGCCTCGAGAGACTCGGGTTACTCGTAGTCGGGCGAATACTGGGGTGAGAGAACCGTTTAGTGATGATCAGAAGACGATAATGCCGGATCCTGGTCTGGAGAAGGAGCAGAAGCCTACGGGACCTTTGGAAGATGGGCTTCTTCGTGATTTACCGTTCAATTTGCAGGGGTTGTCGTCCTCCAATCTGCAGTTCTCCTCATCCTCTATCTTGAAATTGCCGCCGTCACTGCCCTTGCCGGTCGTTTCGCTTTTGAACTCTCTTGCAGAGCCCTGTCTGTTATATCGTGGGTTGTCGTCCTTTGTTGAGAGCTCGGGCGGTGGTCTTTTGAGCCAGAGCTTGCGGGCAGCTCTCTCGAATGAGCTCCGTTCGTATCTGGGCCTAGTTGCCACATTGGAAGGAGAGATCCGACGGGCGTTGACAGCACCTGCAGATCCCAATGATCCTAGAAGTGCCTCTAAGAGTGGTGTGACGTTGAAGCGATGTGTTGTCTGGACGCGAGATGCAACCATGGCGCTGCGTTTGATGAGTCTTATAGTTGAGGAAGCTCAGAGTATGTGCTCCAATTGTGAAAGGACTGTATGCAAGCTAACGTTGATATTGCAGACAAGAAAGGTGGTCAGCTGATTTCTCTGATTCATGGCTTCTCGACTTCTCATGGCGACCCGTTTGTATGCGCTCTGGCAGAAAAGCTTCTCAGTCACGTCACCCGGCCCTTCTACGATATGCTCCGGCTTTGGATCTACGACGGCGAGCTATCCGACCCCTACAAAGAATTCTTCGTTGTCGAGCCCGAGTTCAGGCCCAGTACGGACCCCCGTCGCATTGCGACCAGTGTGTGGGAGGACAAGTATAAACTTGACGATGAGATGGTGCCCTCCATCATCACACAAGATTTTGCTAAGAAGGTGTTCCTTATTGGAAAATCGTTGAATTTCATTCGATACGGCTGTGGAGACTCGGGGTGGGTTGAAGCCTACTCGAAGGAAGCCTCCAAAGAGCTGCGGTATGGCGATACGGCTACCTTAGAGTCTTCAATTGACGAAGCTTATAAGACTACGATGGCACGGCTGATCTACCTTATGGACGATAAGTTCAAGCTCTTCGACCACCTTCGCGCACTGAAGAAATACCTATTGCTCGGACAGGGTGATTTCATTGCCTTGCTGATGGAGTCATTAGCATCCAACCTCGACCGGCCAGCTAATTCACAGTACCGGCATACACTGACTGCCCAGTTGGAGCATGCTATTCGAGCCTCAAACGCGCAATACGACTCCCCAGATGTCCTCCGTCGACTTGATGCCCGCATGCTAGAACTCAGCCACGGAGAGATTGGCTGGGACTGCTTCACCTTGGAATACAAAATCGACGCCCCAGTAGATGTAGTAATCACACCCTGGGGCTCCACTCAATACCTGAAAGTCTTCAACTTCCTCTGGCGTGTGAAACGAGTCGAATTCGCCCTAGGCAGCACCTGGCGACGATGCATGACCGGCGCGCGCGGCGTCCTAGGAAGCGTCAACGACAAAGTCGGCTCAGACTGGAAACGAGCAAGATGCGTAATCGCCGAGATGATTCACTTCGTGTGCCAACTCCAATACTACATCCTATTCGAAGTGATAGAAGCAAGCTGGGACCAACTGCAAGCCTCCATCTCCAAGCCTGGCTGCACCCTAGACGACCTAATCGAAGCACACACCAAATACCTCAACTCCATCACCCACAAAGGCCTTCTCGGCTCCTCCACCTCCTTCAAAAACAACACCTCCTCCTCTTCCTCAACAAATACCAAACAACAAGAAGAAGGCTTCCTCACCCAACTCCACCAAATCCTCAAAATCATGCTCGCCTACAAAGACGCCGTTGACGGCCTCTACTCCTTCTCCGTCGCAGAATTCACCCGCAGACAAGAGCTCAGCGCCAAAATAGAAACTCGCACCGCCCAAGGCCGCTGGGGCATTACTGACCGCGATCTCCGTCGCCCCCTTCGAGGCCACAAGGACTCCGTCTCCTCCTCCATGTCCCCGTCCGTCGCTGCTTACACGCCAAACCTCGCCGGTGGTGGTGGCGACGACTTTGGCATCGGCACCCCTTCTTCCCTCAATCCCCACGACCTTTCGGCAGACGACCACATGCTCGCTTCCCTGCGCGTCCGCCTCCGCGACCTCTCTGCGGAGTTCCGCTCCCGTCTCAACGTCCTCCTAGGCGATCTTGCCTACCAGCCTGATGTGGACATGCGGTTCCTGGGCGTCGTCATGAACTTTAATGATGTGTATGAACCAGTTCGGAGACGCAGGACCGCGGGCTCCAGTTCGCGCGATAAGGAGAGGGCGAGACGCAAGGCGGCCGCTGTTGCGGCTGCTAATGCGACTGCTGCTGCGGAGGGTAATTCATCGTCGTCAAAAGAGGCGAGGAGAGAGAAAGAGAGAGAGAAAGCGGAAAATAGCGGGACTGGGAGCGCTACTGGGTAATAAGTTGTAGATGTTTGTTGTGAGACTTGGGCTGTATATCTATTCCCCTCCCTCAATTGAGGAGGCTTTTTGGTCTGCGTGTGTTTGACTGTCTAATTTGTACGAGTTCATGGAGTCAAGGTTGGATGTATGGATGGCATGGTACGGGCTAGGTGGGAACTGAAGCGAAGTGATAAATGCATAAAATTCGTAAAATGAGAATTTATAACGATTTCATGTATAGTCAATCGGTTTTATCAGAGCAAATAGATTGTATGTAATTACATGTCCCTCCCGAGTAGTTATATTCCTAAGTAAATTCTTGTAGTAGGTAGATAACTAAGACAGCGGAGATAAATCCAGATAAATCCACTTAAATTTTATCTCCGCACCCTCACGTGGAAAATTTCCCCAAAACCTTCTGGGCGACCATCAATCCTCAACCCATACACCTAACAATCTCTTTTTCTCCACCACTGAAACACGATTACTTCCGTTGTACTCCCATTGTTATTATATTTGGGACAACGCGACTCATATATACACAAAATTTGTCTAATATTGTCTATTGCCCGGTCCGCGAAATCGAACGATTCTTACTACGATACCGTCGCATCGCTCAATGTCGAGCAGCCCCCAAGAATCTCCACAACAGCACAAAGAACAACAACAACATATCCCGGCTTGGAAGAAGATGGGTCTGAAACTCAAGAACGCTAAGGATACGGTGGAGGGGGCGGAAAAGAAAAAGGGAGATGTGGACGCCAGGGAAACAAATGTGGAGAAGAAGCAGGATCGCAAGAAGAGCAAGAAGAGACGGCTTGAGAATGATGATGATGAGGGGGAGGGTAAAGAGGTGAAGGAGGATGACGCCGAGAAGAAGAGAAAGAAGAAGAAGAAGAGTGTGTCGTTTTCGGAGGATGCGAAGAAATTGGATGGTGATGCGGACGATCAGGAGGAGGAGCAGGAACAAGCTCAGGAGCAGGATAAAATGCAGGTTGATGCTGAGGGTAATGGTGATGATGATACCGGGGACAAGGCCGATGATGAAGGCGAGGGAAAGAAAAAGAAGAAGGAAAAGAAGAAGAAGAACAAGAAGCAGGACGGATCGAATGATGCTTCATCCACCACGACACCGAGAATCCACGAAACGCCTATCCTTTCCTACCTGAGTCTGTACCACAAGCATCGGTCGGCGTGGAAGTTCCAGAAGAATCGCGAGACGCATCTCTTCAAGCATGTTTTGTCGCTGGAGCAGGTCCCAACGCTGTACAATGCGGCTTTGCTTGCCTATTTGCAGGGGTTGAAGAGCGAAGGTGCGAAGTTGCGGTTGCGACAGATTGCCGAGGAGGTCATCAAGGCGGAGGCTGATGCCGAGGAGGATCAACCTAATAGTGCTCCTGCAGAGACGGAGGAGTCGAAGGAGGGCTCTTCTTCTGAGGCCAACGAGAGCACCGCGGCGACGGATAAGGCCAGTTACGACAAGGCCGTTGGTGTCTTCCGGACACGCTTGGCTGCAGGTCAAGAAGATATTGATTGTCAGGATGTTACTGCGCAGCTCAATGCGGAGACACTGAAGAAGTACGAGAATAGGGCACGGGCTGAGCTCATTCTGTTTGCTGTTAACGGCACGCTGTTCAATTACCACAAGCCCAAGCCTGCTGCGCAGAAAGGAAAGAAGGGGGCTCAGGCCCAGCCTGGCAAGAAAAAGAAGAAGAACCGTACTGCTATCGTTGAGATCTCGAGCAGCAGTGAGAGCGAGAGTTCTAGCGACAGTGATAGCGACAGCGACAGTGACGATGAGAAGAAGACCAAGGCTAAGCCTGCAGCTGCTAAAGCCTCGTCATCTAAGGATAGCAGTGACAGTGATAGTGACAGCAGCAGCAGCAGCAGTGATAGCGACAGCGATTCGGATAGCTCAAGTTCGAGCGACTAGCTGTGATGCCACTTTTGGATTGTCGGGTGCTCGTGCTTTCGTATATTGGCACACCCTATCAATGACCTGCTGTTTGATCATTAAGTCACCAAAAAAGCGAAATGTTTATAGAAGATTATATAGACCATCATGTCCAGTTATAGACATTGCTATAGCTCGGTCAATCACAACTCTGGTAGTTGCCTAACTGCTATTGCTAAATTGAGTTTCATCGTGATAAACAGTAGATGAGTAGACTACTCATAGTATAGTACTTATTTTGTGGATGCAAGGCTCTTTTAGTGGACCGATTCTATCTCTCTATGACAACAGCAGCCGATAGTCTCTTCCCAGCTAGTAAGAGTGACTTCAAACCGTCTGGTAAGTTTCCTAGGATGAATACTAGATCACAACTAGGTTGTCTTAACCCACCCTATTAGATTATATCGTGATGATAATACTGGACTAGTATATATAGTATGAAGTAGCACCAAGATCTAAGTACTAATCATCGGTACTAGTGATACTGCACTAAACGGACATTAATGAGAAAGTCCGGCAGGCAACATAGAAGACACAAAGATCAAAATATAAAGTCGAGAAGAACAATCTCTATTAGTTTAAGAAGAGATCGTTGAGCGATGATAGATGAGCGGCACAATGATGAAGCCGTGAAAGGCGGTGACGCTGGAGCTTACTCAAACGGGGACCCAAAGCTTAGAGCTCCGGCCAGGCACCCTCTGGCACGCGTCCTCTGCTAACGTCCCTCCTCCCTCGTCCTCGATCCTTCATTCCCCCATCTCGATTCCATTTTCATTTCGCTATAAGACTAGTTAACTTCCATTGTAATCTCGAATCGAGTTTGATATACCACCGCCATCATGTCTGGTGAGACTTCCCGGACCCTCTTGACTGAACCGGCTTCCATGACTTCATCGATAGACTGACAACCTCTGTGATCAGGAAGTGCATATGACAGACACATTACCATCTTCTCGGACTCGGGTCGTCTGTACCAAGTTGGTAAGTGACCCTCTCTCCATAAAAACCGCCTCTCCCCGACGACCTTCGAAGTACTCCGATCACGGACCACGTTAGACCTTCAAGACCGCCTACTCACCATTGATGCCCTCGGCGCTTAGAATATGCCTTCAAGGCTATCACCTCGGCCAACATCACCTCGATAGGTGTGAAGGGCAAGAACTGCGCTGTGGTTCTGTCCCAGAAGAAAGTTGCTGTAAGCTCGTCCCCGCCGCATCGAGACGGCCTGTCGGTCATCCTCTGATAAACATACCAGGACAAATTGATCGACCCCTCCTCCGTTTCGTACATTTTCAGACTTTCCCCGTCAGTGGGCTGTGTGATGACCGGCTCCATCGCCGATGCGCGGGCCAGTGTTGACCGTGCTCGTGGTGAGGCGGCTGAATTTCGATACAAGTATGGCTACGAGATGCCCTGTGATGTCCTCGCAAAGCGACTTGGCAATATCAATCAGGTCTACACGCAAAGGGTATGTGTCACCTGCTTCAAAGATCTTGCCCGGGACATTGGCTGATGGATCACGTTCACCCTCTAGGCTTACATGCGTCCCCTCGGAGTTGCCACGACCCTGGTATCCGTTGATTCGGAGAAGGGTCCCCAGCTTTACAAGGTCGATCCTGCCGGATACTATATCGGATATAAGGCGACTGCATCTGGACCGAAGCAGCAAGAGGCGATCACTTACCTGGAGAAGAAGCTGAAGAACAAGGAGTACGCTGACGGCAGCTGGGAGGAAGTGGTGGAGCTGGGAATCACGGCTTTGAGCAATGTGCTGAGTGTTGATTTCAAGAAACACGAATTGGAGATTGGAATCGTGGGAGGGCCACGAGCAGATGGCCAGGAAGGGACAGACATTGGTTTCCGGAGTTTGACGGAGGAGGAGATCGACGAACGACTGCAGGCTATCAGCGAGAAGGACTGAGCTGGATTTCATTGTTTTTTACTGGGAGCATCCATGTTGGTAGACGCAAACGATCGATGAACATCATTATTTTTCTCTGATGCCATGAGCTGGCCTGTGTCTGACGAAACTCTATTTCCCCTCTTGGTCGGTTGACTTGCTTTTTGCACCGCTGCTGTACTTGACATCCAAAACCTGGAAAGCCCCCTTGCAGCTACTGTAACCGGGGCTCCTGTATCGGAAAGACCCGTCGCCTGTTCCTCCGGACTGGTGGCGAATATGGGGATAGACAAGCACGGTGCGATAAAGTATGGTCTTTGCGATCTGACAGGCTTAGAGAGGGAATTTGCTTATCTGCACGTTCCATGCTGCAGCACTTGTTACTAAAGAAAGGAACGGCGGTACCGGGATTATCGATGCAAAGCAATGTCAGACGTCTACTGCTATGAAGTTTTGAGCGTGCTATCTGCAAGCTTTAGCCCTCAATGGGAAAGCAATCTCCCCGGGCTAGCGTTTTGCACTGAAGCAACGTTGACCATGCTCATTGGAGGAGCATGATGAAACTTGCCACCGAGGAGGTCGGGACGGAGATACTACTACTGTTCGTATGCTGCAAGTAGACGTGAAGTGACAGACAAGGAAGGAGAGAGCAACAGCCCCGGATGAACGACGGGAAGGAACTAGTAGTATTCTTCCGTAGTATGGAGTAAGTAGTAAGAACCAAATCAATGGTGGATTGCGCGAGTAAACTTCAAGCCTGAGGCTGCGGTGTTTGCTTTTCCATTTTCAGCTGGTTTACTCGCCTCTTTGTGGCTGAGCTGGAAGTTGTGGCTTTCGCGGTTTCTTTTTGGCCGCCGTTCTATCTTTGTCCATTTTACTTTTTTATTTTTCTTTTTCTCTTTTTTTCTCGTTGTTGTACTCTTACTCTTGACGCCCTTGCCTGTTCGCCGTGGGACCGAACGGTGCCTGAACCTAAACCGAGTCAGTGTCAAAGCCAAATCCTTGCGAGGATTTCCCTGCACTGGCACTCGATTATTCCCTTCTTGTCGATATCTCCGTCCCAACTTGCAGCTGATGTGAACTATGAATTACTAGGGTGTGGCGTTTACCGAGGGTGGATGACCCTCATCCCAGCTGGCAGTAACTCGCACTTCCCACTTACATTTTCTTTTTTTTTTTCTTAGTGTGTCTTTGACAACCTAGAGTCCCGCTACTTACTTACTAGGATTAGACTAACTAATCATGCCATGGGTTGATGGTCCATCTGCTACATGCTTGCCCGTCTCCACCCAATCTGCAAGATGAACCAAGATCCAGCACTTTTCCCCTAAAACCAAAAAAAGCCAAAATATACTAAAATAAATCATGATAAAATTTTCATTGTGGCTTTATCGGTTTTCCCACTGGTGTGGTCCTTCTGTGACACATGCGGCGATGTATCACCCTGTCCACCTTCTCCACCCACAAGCCGGTGGAGTCTCTTTCTCTCTGCCCGGCCCCAGTCTTGAATATCGTTTCTAGTGTTGATTTTCTTTTTCCAATATTCCCACCCCTGCGTTGACTGCTATCGCCGGTTGCCGTGACCCAGTTTTGTGTATTTCCTCAATTTCCTTATGCATATGCAGACCCATAAGCATTGATCCCCCTACCTGGACCAGCTGCTTAGCGTCGCGCTTAGATATCAGCCTTAGATCCATTCGTCGTGGGTGGACATCCCAGGCCCTTTCGGACACATGGCTCTCATGGGGCCCGTTTCCTACTATTGATCCACAATGGGTGTCATTATCCAGCTGCAGTCCCTAGCTGTGATGTCCTCCTTTCTCCATCAGCGTCCGTCAACGCAGCCAGCCACTACTCATGATGATGATCCTCTTTCACCATGTTCCCCATCGCCGGGCTGATGGCCCATGGTCATCCAAACTATCCATGGCTGAACGTTAAGCTTAAAAGGATATCCCACCCTCGGCCTTCAGATAGAAATATCATACAAGACATCAGAGCTCGACTCAACAAGAATATAAAGGTCGCCTTGTCTCTTCTAGTCAATTGACTTGACCGTTACTCTAGCACACTCCATTCATTCTCTCCTCTTGGATATAGTTCTCTTTAGTGCCTTTTGTTGCACCCTTCATCTCTTCATACCTTTAATCACTTTTCGGAGGCAACTTCAAGTTTACTACAATTGCAATGGCTGACGGACGTAAGTATTCGACCTCTCCACCTCACCACACTACCCTGGAGTCGTCAATGGCATTGACATGTTGTAGTCAACGAAGCACGTGCCCTGCGGGTGGCCGAAATCATCAACGACTACCGAACTCTACTTGTGCACATCTCTCAGCAGAACGTCCAAATCCCGAATGCAGAGGCCAACGAAGAGGGCTACAAGACGATCAGAGAAGGCCTGGCTGCCGCCCAGGCATTGATGTCGTCCAACTACAATCCCAGCATGACGCCTGCTCAGTCGAACGTGGAGACGGAGAAGGCGGAGTTGCAGAGAGTGATTCTTGACGCCAGCGCCCGTCGCTTTCAAGCCCATCGTATCTACCTTCGCGTGGCAGCCGCCAGAAGATGGGCTATCAACCGTCAGAACATCCTGCGCGGACAGCAACCTGGACCTCAACACGCTGCTCAACTCAAGACTGTGAGCAACACGTTCCGACAGGTGAGCAAAACCCTGAGCGTTACGATCATTAAACCATTGGCTGACCCTGAATACAACAAAAGGAAATGGCTCAAGTGACAGACCAATACGTTGTTGCTGATCTCCGGGCTGCAGACACGCGGGCAGGTCATTGGCTTGCCGACGATCCTTCCCTGCCAGTGATCCTTACCTGGATCCGTTCTCACCCATGAATTGCTGGGCTCACGATGTGCAACTTACTATACACCTGATTCTTTCGGGACGACGAGAAGTTGTTGTGTACGGATATATGATTTTCTGAATGGTTTTCGGGCTTACGGCACCAATTTGTTTGGTTATTTCGGTATACCCTTGATGTGGGCGGTTTGTTATCCGCAATTTTGGGCGCAGGTCGCTCGTCATGTTCTGTTTCTGGAAAAGAAAAGCTGTTTGATTCCCTATGATACGCCTCTTATGTTCGGTTATACTTTGTCTTCTTTGCATTTACCCTTTTTCGGCTTTCATGTTGATTTGCTACTTTGTTCGGTTTCCCTTCATGTCATGATATCCCCCTTGAATTATGGCTTACGCTAGATGCGATATAATTGGATATCCCCAGCGAGGGTCTATTTACTCTATTTTTGTTTCTCAATGTGCTTTTTTTGTTGGTAATTATTCCCCTGTATTGCCTTGGGGTTGCTCCGAGCAGCCAGATTATTTTGGGACTATCGATGCAAGTATGCAACTCAAGGCAGGGATGTTGCTGCCTTAGCGGTAGACTAGCGCAATTCCGACACTTTCCTCATTATTGACGGATCAATTTTCCGCTCCGCAAAGCTGAAGCGAACAATCAATCTATCGGTGATAGTACTTGTTAGTCCTTGACATGTTACGTATTTCTCCTCCTAGCCGAGGGAATTGGTACGACCAGGGCCATCCACATGGGCAACGGTCTACTTCTGCGACATGCCACAATGATGTCGAAAGAGAAGGATGATAGCGCGTGGCTTGCCAGTCGTTTCCTGTCAAGCAGTCGGCAAGCCCGCGCTGTGGACCCGACGGGTTAATGTGGAGAAAGGGAAAATTTTCGAATAATTATCCAGAATTTTTGAAACAGGAACCTTTTGAGTTTGCTCGGAATAGTAGTAGGTTCCAGTTTGTCCACATGGCTAGAGTTGATGCGGGAAACGGCCTACCAGCTGAATTGCTGGAGTCGAATTTTTCTCATTGGCGTCGAATTTACCGTGTCGAGGGGCGAAACGCTCTGGCCGGAGCGACAGATAGACACGAAACGAGATCCTCACGTTCGACTCATCCAATGACAGCCGCCGGAGTTACCGAAGTGCTGGGTCGCTGCTAAAATCTTGGGTGCAGCTGGTCGAGGACATCCCAGCTGAACTGGATGGGGCGGGAAGGATCCAATGCTGCATGCGCCCGGAAAGCGAAATGGAGATGGGTTGGAGAAAGCAGAAAGTCAAAGAAAAATTGAAAAAAAATATTAGGGGACTAGCCTCTGACGCAGATGCACGGCGGTTCCCTTGAGATCTGTCCATTCTTCTCAACCAGGTTGAAAAGAGTTTTTCATCGCAGGTCAAATTCTGATTTGGCAGATCTGCTCCAAAATGCAATGCTGGTGGATTCAAACTGTGGCCGTGCAACCGTGCCCTGCAGTAGCTTAAAGTCCCACGCGCCAATCAGTGCCCCGGCCGTGCGGTAGAGGCAAAGGTTTCAGCTGAGAAGGTCCAGGAAACTGATCCACTCGGTCGCTTTCACGTTCTTAACTTCTTCTTGATCTGTTTCCTGGTCTGGCTTAGGGCTTTCAGTCACTGGCGAGGCGGGGATCCCGTCGGACTTGCTGCCGCTCACTGATCATCTTTCCCGGATAGACCCTCTTGTTTTACGATCAAGGTGATGACTACGTATCCTGGTCCTAACTAATTTAGTTACCTATCTATCTAGTGACTGGGAGTTGATGTCCCTTTCGGTCGTCGATGGGTCCCCAAACCTAGGCCACGAGGTTGCAGGATTAGTGTCATCTGTCACGTTCGGCCAGGATCCATGGTACAACCGGGAATGCTCATTCCTTAGTTTCGTTTCCGCTATTCCTCTCATTCGACCGTGCCTCGACAATGCTTTCTACTCGTTACAGAACTAATAGCTACTACTACTATGGTTGCATCTACCCCTGTCTCCCCGTGCCTCGATCTTGACGAGGATGAGATCGGTAACAGTGATGGTCTTTACAGTCCAGAACAAGCGAGATGCATCATGCGCACGCTCCCACCTCGCATCCTAATTACTTGGTCTGATCGGAACAAGTCATTCAATGCTCCCTTACGTGGCCTATACTTTTAACGCTTCATCACAGAGCACTGGACCATAGAGTTCTTGCTACTTCGATGTTACCCACGGTCATGCCGGACGTCGGGAAGTTGTAACCTCAGCTCCCATGATATCTCCGGAGACGTGAACTACCCCGAGATACATCATGCGCTTGGAAATTTCCCTTAGGAATGTCATCTGAACCGAGATGCACCAGGGACGATCTATGCAAGTCTGGGGATTGGATTGTCGAACCAGGGTCCCTCCCCGATAGCCGATCTCCTTGTTCTCGTGACAGATACTCAGGCACAGATCACTTGAGGAGTTTTAAGCGTCTCCGCCCTGTTCTACCCGGTCTAGTCTCATTTAACCTCCCCGAGAGGTGAACTATCAAGGAAGCACACGATATAGTGTCGTAGCCATGGAGCCCTATACTGCCAGGAAGACTATCTTTTACAATTCAGAGCATGGCATGGTCAGACAAGAAATGACCGACGCCACCGACGGCATATCTTGTGTTTCAAGAAAACTTCACAAGCCGAACATGACAGTGTTCTACTCACCGAATAGAGATATAAATTCGGATTCTTCCATTAGACTCCTGGAGTAGTAGTAGTAGATGCCCGTCAGCTTCCTGAAATCCCAGTCAGCCACATTTTGATGATCACATAAGCGCAGACCACCTGTCTCCTGCAGCCACAGTTGCACCGCCGCGATTGACTCTGAGCCAATCAGAAGTCTGAACTTCTGTTATTTATATAGTACTACAAGTTAGTACTTACCATACAGGAGAGGTGACCTAAGGCAGGTACAATCATCCCACCCCCCTGCTGCATCGTTCATTCCTTCCGACTGACTCTTCCCGGGTTCTGCTTACCAGCCTCTTGCATGCTGGTAAGTGCTTTTGATTCTTGCCGACCATGGCTTTCTCGCGATTGATCCACTGTCTCGTACTTTTCATCGTTGTTCTTATCCTGTCTGCTCGGTACTTTTGGAATGACGCAGCTGTGCTTCCGCTCCAGCCCAATCCTGCACCTACTACCGACACGAACGCTACCATCCCAGCCATGTCTTCTGGTCTGAAGTCCGTGGCCTACTTCGTCAATTGGGTGAGCATGCACTCGATCTTGGCTGTCGTATCCCAACTCGACACGGGAGGCAGTTCCACTCGTATAATAGTAATTCTAATGCCAATGCCTAGGCGATTTATGGCCGCAACTACAATCCTCAGGACATTCCGGCCGACAAGCTGACTCATGTCCTATACGCATTTGCTAACGTTCGCCCGGACACTGGAGAAGTGTAAGCTCTCCACTTCTCTGCAGCACATGGCTGATCACCCCCTTGCCACCGGATCAGCCGCACTGACTTCTCGCCACAGTTATCTGTCCGACACCTGGTCAGACATTGAGAAGCACTACCCCACAGACTCCTGGAATGACGTCGGTACCAATGTCTATGGCTGTGTTAAGCAGTTGTTTTTGCTCAAGCAGCAAAATAGGAAGTTGAAGGTCTTGCTCTCCATTGGCGGTTGGACCTACTCTCCCAATTTCGCTCAGGCCGCTAGCACTGATGCTGGCCGCACTAAGTTTGCTGAGACTGCAACTAAATTGGTCACTGATCTTGGATTCGATGGTATGTGACTGGTTTGTGACAATGCGTGGGACATGATTCGCTAATGCTGGTGATTACAGGCATCGATATCGATTGGGAGTACCCCAAAGGTTAGTTTCTCGGATTGTTGGGGAGATGAGTAACCAGTTAGGTGTGGATACTAAGACGACTACCTACAGATGATACAGAAGCGCAAAATATGGTCCTTCTGCTTCAGAAGTGCCGTGAGGTGAGCTTTCTCCTCGATCGTAATGCGCGCACGCATGCACTAACTTTGTCTAGACTCTGGATGCAACTGCTGGTGCGAACAGGAAGTTCCTTCTCACTATCGCTTGTCCAGCTGGTAAGTGGATTATATTATTTGTTTTACTCGGGACGAGACCAAGTCAGACCCAGTGAATGCTGATCTCATGTAGGTCCTGCTAATTACACCAAGCTCAAGCTGTCTCAGATGACGCCATACCTGGACTTCTACAACTTGATGGCCTACGACTATGCCGGAAGTTGGGACACTGTTGCCGGTCATCAAGCCAACTTGTATCCCTCGGCTGACAAGCCAGCGTCGACGCCATTCTCGACCAATGAGGCAGTGAACTACTACATCCAGAAGGGTGGGGTCCCCTCGTCCAAGATAATCCTGGGAATGCCGCTGTATGGGCGTGCCTTCACCAACACTGATGGACCCGGGACCGCATTCTCGGGGGTCGGACAGGGAAGCTGGGAGCAAGGTGTTTGGGACTACAAAGCATTGCCGAGAACGGGAGCCACTGAATATGCTGATGCAAATCTGGGTGCATCCTGGAGTTATGATCCCACGGCACGCACCATGGTTTCCTACGACACTGTGGCCGTGGGCGAGATGAAGTTGGACTATATCACCAAGCTTCAGCTCGGCGGTGGCATGTGGTGGGAAACCAGCGGTGACAAAGGAGGAAAGACCGCCAACAAAGCTGACGGCAGTCTGATTGGAACCTTCGTGGAAGGGATTGGAGGCGTGTCAGCCCTCGACCAGTCGCAGAACGTGCTCTCCTACCCTGAGAGCAAGTACGACAACCTGAGGAACGCATTTCAGTAGAGCGATTGATACTCTCATCTATCTTTCAGTTTAGTTGAGCAGGCTTTTCTCATTTACATATGGTTTATCTACGTATTAGGTAGTCTAAATTGAGAGCGGTTTTGAATTTTTTTCATTTCTCATTGCTCGGGCACTATGGGACGATCAAAGCGCACACGTCCCGACCTCATCCACCACACATTCACGACCGACATTGCTAGGCGCTACCGGAAAGAGGACATGGCGAAACGATCGACTTAGTCCATTTATTTGGACTCGTCGAAGACGTAGGTGAGGTGGCACTTTCCGCAGTACTGGCGGTTGTGCATAGCGGCCATGAAGATACCAGCACCGCACTAGGAGAGTTAAAGTTAGTAAGATGCGCCAACAGCAAGATTCAGCCATACGGCGAAATATTAGACATACCTCGGGGGAGGGGCACTCGCGGCGAAGACGCTCAATCTTGCCATCACCGTCGACCTTGTAGTACTTGAGGACGGCAAGCTTGGTCTTCTTGTGCTTGTGCTTGATCTTCTTGGGGGTGGTGTAGACCTTCTTCTTGCGCTTCTTACCACCACCACGCAGGCGGAGCACCAGGTGGAGGGTGGACTCCTTCTGGATGTTGTAGTCCGAAAGAGTACGGCCGTCCTCGAGCTGCTTACCAGCGAAGATCAGACGCTGCTGGTCCGGGGGGATACCCTCCTTGTCTGAACATCATCATTAGAATATGTTCCAACTGGATTATGTAGGCCGGGTGTGTATGCTTACCCTGGATCTTGGACTTGACATTGTCAATGGTGTCCGAGGACTCCACCTCGAGGGTGATAGTCTTACCCGTGAGGGTCTTGACGAAGATCTGCATCTTGATGAAGGTCTGATTTTGAGGATAATGTGTTAGTTGGATATTCTACTGGTTTTTTGAGCAAAGGGATAGGGGTTGAATATCATCGGCGTTTCGCATCTCATCTTCGTGTCTTGATCACATATTTCGCCCCAGGATTTCTGGTATCTTGCGCGCTAAGTTGTGCACACGAGATTATTTTTCTGGAGTATGTGGAAAGAAATGAAGATGAGATGTCGCAGATAATATTGTATCCCTTTTTTTTCCCTCTTTGTCACATAGTAAATGTATAGGGGCCTCAACTCACCTCGACAAGACTTGTCTTCCTAAACCTTCGACGATCGTGGTAGGAAAATATCCTCGGTGGTGGTGGGCTTCGTTAAAATCGGTTGTGCGGTCACGTGGTGCCCATATTACCGAGTCGGGCGTAGTGTGGGTGGACCACTCGGATAATCAGCCCTCCGGGTCCTCGGTCATGTGATGGTCTGCGGCTGAGGTCACGGGATGTTGATGTTGCTGACTGATGACTTTGACAACGGTTTCTTGGATACGTCAGTTTTGGTGCCTGCATCGTCAGGCATAGACACGGCACGGAAAAGCGAGGCAGAAAGTACGACGACTAAGACTAAAACCAACTAGACTAGAAAACCAGCCTCTCAGAGCATCGACGTCAACTTCGTCATCGTCATCATTTGCCCGCCCATCCCTCCGCTCAGTTGCTAATTATTGATTGAATAACATGCGGACAGGAGTCAATTATTAAATGGGCTATTGCAGAGGAAGGGTGAAATAATGTTTCAAACCCTCACAGGCCACAGGTCGCCTCCTCCCGTCATTTATAAGAGGCAAAATGTGGGATTAGATCGATAATGGAGATAGGGTGGTTGTCTGGACCGCTGGTAGAAGCCAGGCGAGAAGCAACCTCCTTGCAGGTTGCAACTAAACCTGCCGGATCGTAAGCTTTAATTGTGTTCGGACCACTGGTTGCTGCGGCGGGCTGCTAATGCTCCGTGCTGGAACCAGGGCGCGATCCACTGCGCAGGCCAAATCGCCGGGCTCCATGCCAAGGGGCGCTGGTTTCCCTGACGCCTCAGCCGACCCTGTTGCTAGGCCAACCACGCCATTGTTGATCTGAACCGTGGGCGATAGATCGGGATAGCTTCATCATCTCCATCCACCTTTCCCTGGTTCCCACCTCTAAATACCTTAAAAGACTTCCTTGGTTCTTACCCTCCCATCTTCCCACTACCAATTCGCGTTGCAGGGAAGCTTCTTATAAGGGCTTCGATTGCATCTTCAGTTTTGCGACTTGTCCAGCGCATTTTAGATAGCTGTCGCAAGAAATCTTCCTTTGCATAGATCTAGTGCAGAGGCTGCGTTAATTCCTTAACTGCTGCGCTTGCTTTCGTTCTTTCTTCTGCGTCTTCTTTAACCTTTTTTTCTTCCTAGCGTGAGTGTTCTAATTGAGGAGATCACCGACTGACACCACTGCAGGGCGGTTCATTACCATCTTGTCGGCCCAGCCGTGTGGCTAGTATTGCGTGAGGTTGGTAACTCTCGGCGCTGGATGTGAATTCTTTGCATAGTAAATCGGTGCAGAAGGCTTACGCATTTAAATCCTCTAGATCCGACCAAACACCAAGGTCTGTCAATCCGTCGGTCAAGCACCTTGCGATAAGCGCTCGAAGAAAGAGTTCCTTTTTCGCCCATCATGCTGTCCACGGCGCACAGCAACCTCCATGAGCGACATCGACAACACAGGCGGCAGATCTCGACGCCGTCCGCTCTTGATGCCGTGAAAGCCCCCAGTCTTCCGGCGCAAGCGATGCATCGTTATCATGCCCATCGTCGGGGACAGAGTTTTGACAACAGAGCTTTGCGTGTCCAGCGATCGCAATCCATGCAAGATGGTACAACTCATACTACTAACACAACAGTACCGCAGCCGCATCATCCGAATATGCTTGGGGACAGCCAACACCAACGATACCTGTGTGTAGCGCAGCCGTCGTTTCCCCAACAATCAGCTCCCATGCCCGTTATCACCGACTGCTTCACCCCGGAAGAGGTGCAAAGCCTTCAAAGTCACAATGGCCAGGATAGTCAACCAAGTATGGCCTACCTGAATGCGCCCTTCGGGAAGGACGTTCCGCACATGAACATGCACTTCGACCTGATGCAGCAACAACAGATGCACAGCGCTAAGGTTCCGTGCGGATCTGGAACGGAAGGTCAATTTTTCGAGACGGGACTTTGGGACTTTTACCAGCCAACTTTTCCCGGTCAAGCTGATGTAAGGAAGTTATCGGTGCAGTCGGAAGCTACTCCGTCTCAGCACCCGCATACGCCTAAGCACGGCAATACACGTACGTTGATGGCTCATAAGGTCTCTGCTAAGCGCAAAATACTAATGCGTTGTGCAGAGTATGCGCCGATTACACCAGCAACAACACCATTCAAGCAAACCGTGGGCCTAGCTCAGTACAGTGGGGACATCCAGTCAGGATCCACCAAAGACCAGGGTAGCGCGATGCCCGGATCAGCCCAGTCGTCGTACATGCAGCGAGCAAAGTCTCTCCAAGGCGTGGCTGGAACTACTTTCACGCAGCAGAAGTTTGATGTGTCCACCCCCCCGAACACAGCATCATTTGAAGTGGATAACTTTGATACCTTTAACTATGAGCAGGGTTCTAGCTTTGAGGTTCCTAAGTCGGAAAGTCTTTCACAAAGCCAGTATGCCTCGTCGTCGTCAGCATCGTCATCTTTCATGTCATCTCCCGAGCTTGCGGCTATGCCTTGCCCCGAAGACGGTGCAAAGACACCAAAAGTACCTATTTATCCTGCCACCCCCAACCGTCCGCACCACAGGAAGACACCCAGTGCAACACCTAGCTCAGCGGCTAAGCCGAAGCTTTCTCCCCGCGTCGCATCCATTGATAACTTGAATCTCGACGCTCGCGTACAAGCCTCAATCAAAGAAACGGGTGTCACCATTGACGAGATTGCGTCGTATATTCACGGGCCTGACCCGGAGGACGGAAAATGGGTATGCCTGCACCCGGGCTGCGAGCGCCGCTTTGGAAGAAAGGAGAATATCAAGTCACATGTGCAGACCCACCTGGGCGACCGCCAGTACAAGTGCGACCATTGCAACAAGTGCTTTGTTCGGGGTCATGACCTTAAGCGTCATGCCAAGATTCATACCGGCGACAAACCCTATGAGTGTCTATGTGGTAACGTGTTTGCGAGACACGACGCCTTGACTCGACACCGGCAGCGTGGTATGTGCATTGGCGGCTACAAGGGCATTGTGCGCAAGACAACGAAACGGGGTCGCCCGAAGAAGCACCGACCAGAGATGGATGAGAGGCAAGACAAAGCATCGAGAACACGCCAGAGGATCGCAGAGAAGTCATCTTTTGACTCGTCCACATCCGAGTCCTCACGCAACACGCCTCCTTCCGAAGTCTTCGAGAACATGAGTCTCCACGGCTCTAGCCCGGCGGAAGAGATGCCGGTGTTCAACAACCCCAACTACTCGTTGCCACCAGAGGTTTTCACGTTCACGCCTCCTGCATCTCCCGGATACAGCGTGGGAATCAAGCCGTCGCCTTCTCGGGACGAGCGATCGATTACCCCCAGCTCAGAAGACGAAATGCTTCCTTCCTCCCCATCAAAGCAGCCTCTCGAGAGCCTCGTCACGGACTCCAGCTTGCCCTACATGTCTGATCCGGAGACATGCCCGTACACAGATGCTTCCGGTGCTGCCAGCCATTCTCTGTCGTCGCCCCATGCCGCTCCCACCCTGTCTGAATCATCTAACGGATCTGATCTCGACATTTTTATCAGCCAAGGTTCGACCTCTAGTTTCGGAAAGCCCGAATTCGGAGACTTGGCTGATTCCGACATGGCGCCATTCCCTGACTATGTGAACACGACGTCCTTTGAAGGTGGTCTAGAACTGTTCCCCAACAAGCCCTTCTCCTCGGGCCCCGTCATGGCCGACGACTTCTTCTTCCAATTTCAAGTGGACGAACAAGCCTCGGATGTTATGACCAAAGAATTCTTCATGGATTAAAGAGCAACGACCATAACGGAACAAGAACCTAAATAACGACCGACAAGAAAGATGACACGGAAAACGAAAAACATCAAACGACCGGCGAATTTTGACGATGCAACGACTCAGGCTTACCAGCCAAATGTGCAAGACTTTTAACGATTTAGGACCGCAAATGATTTGGAACCCATGCATATAAGACGCGAAATGATTTTTATGCCTTTTCTTTTTCTTCTACACTACGACACGAGAACCATGTACAATTTCCCTCCCTCATTTCACTTCTACGACCAAACTCATTTCAACGACCAATTTTATCCACTGCAAACTGATGAACTGTGACAACAACAAGAACAACGTTTCCAAAAAGAACCATTGTTTTCGGGCATATGAACTTTCTGCTTTTTCTCCTTGGCGCTTACTGCATTTGATTCTTTTGTTATCTCGCGCAACGACACCATGTACGACCACCAACCAACCACCATTCTGAACCCCGGGATTTATCTGCAATATCTTGGGAGTTTTTAGTGTTTGCAAGATAAAATGACTTTTCTATGTTTTCTGGCCAGTCAAATTATGGAGTTTTTACAGGTCGTCCGTTCTTTTCTTTATTTTATCTGACTCTTTACGTGTTGATTGATCTTGATGAATGTTTGTAACGTCTTTTCTTTGTCTCCTTGATGAACCCTTTTATGATGTTATGCTATGTTATTGAATCTGATTTTGTTGCTTTTTATTTATTTCCTTGTGTCATTTGGATTTGCCTTTAACTGCTGATGGATTGTGATATGTGAACCGAAACGGACGAACGGGTTGATCTGTAAAAACTTCTATCTTCTTCATCTTTTATGCTACTATTGCATCTTTGTTCTATTGGCTGGCATTGCAAAACAAAAGTCATTTTGATACTCTCCTTTGGTTTGGTTGCTGACGAAATTTTACTTAATCGCCTACCTACTTACCCTGCTATCATCAATTTTGTCTTGGTGGTTTTCGCATGGCGCTTTCCCTCCTCGCCTGTACTTTAGCTTTATGATAGAACTGACTGACTCCCCATGAATGTCAATGATGCTTGAATGGATTGCTCTGTTTTTTTGTATAGTTCTATAGGTTTGTTTCATTCAGGATATAGGTAGTACTAGTTAACAGTGTGTATGATTTGTATAGTATGCCGGAAATGCAAAATATATGGAAACATGTATGATTCTATGTGCGTTTAGATGTTGTATATGGCAAAAAGACCGAGAAGGGAAAGAGAAAGGAAGTGGAAGCGGGATCATGCCTCTCTCCATGTAATGGAGAGCTCGAGAGGATGGTCGTCCTGCGTCGCGAAGACTTTGCTCTTCGTTGGC